TATTATTATTATCWTCGAATCGCTGTATCGTTACATGTTATTGCTATTAGTCGTATTCCATTTTAGTAGTTATAGAAAACAGAACTATTAATAGTATCTCATTTACGCAGAATAATATTATTGCCGAACCAAACGTGCCGACCACGACCGGTCGTTTATCGAAAACAAAAATACCGATAAATATATACTCATATTATTATTATTAACTATTATAAAAATAATTTATCATATTATTATGCGTGACTATTTTAGTTACATTATTCGTGTAATCTCCCGACTCTCCCGTAAACTTGTTTTTTTTTTTCGATTCATTTTGATTAGTTTCATTTTAGATTCATTTAGATTCATTTTGATCATTTTGATAGTTTTTATTGGCAAGATAATTTACCGAAAATCTAACGAAGAAAAATAACTAACATTYCTCTAAGGTCTTTCTTGCAAATTTAAGAAAAAAATATATTAAAAATTCATTGTCACATTTTTATAATGAGCATTAATATACAAATGTTGACCAAATTAATTAAATCACGAAGATTTTCAAACATGTAATTTTAAATTTATAATGTAATAGTTTGAACTTCAAAATTCAAAAATTACAATAGTATTTAATATCTATAATTATTACTATTATGATATTACTTTCCTTAGACAATTAAATTACTAAAACATTTGGTGAAATTTTAAGCTATGTGTTAAATTATTTTATACAATGGTGTGAATCATTTTACGTCRCCACGTCATTTTTTACTTATAACTTTATAAGTTACATGTTAATAGTTACCTGCAATGTGGAATTTTTCGATGTCCAACACTCAATAGCATACTGTATTTAATTAAACGATAAAATATAAGTAGGGTCAACTGGATACAATCCAGTATCTACCAAAATCGTATTATTGTAAATCGGTGTATTTTATTTAAGACCCGAGAATAACAAATAAAATATAAAAATACAAAAAAAGATATTGCGATTTCAAGCAATCGAACCTCGATGCATTATAATATTCTAAACAATCTAAACATTTTCACTATTTTCAGTTTGTCTTATCTTTTTTAGGAAAATTTTTTTCCTAAAACACATAAAGTGTAATAAATCTTATCCTTAGGAACGTTTTACATATTCCAAAGCTATAATAGAAGATAAAATGGTAATAAATTCAAAACTAGTGGTTAACACAGCAGAAAACAATTTTTATTTTAATAAGCTATTTACTAAACACGATAAACAAAACAAAATCAAATTAAACTTGGACAAATAATAACTGAATGACGTGATGTGAATATATCATATGAGATGAATGAATAATTATCAAATATCGGGTTTCAAACGATCAGTGCCTAGTTGTTCGATTTTGATTATACGGAAATCGGATAATCAGTACATCTGCAAATGTAAGTTCACATGCATAAAGCATAATTATATAACGTGAATACAATATCGTTAATAAAAGACATTTTACAAAAAACTTATGATAATATTCACTCTACTTAAATTCATCACTAACCATTGGATCAAAACAGTAATCAATATTGGCAATATCATTCATAGCGTTATTTAATGTGATCTTGCAATCGATATAGATGATTAAAGCACTTGCTTCATTTGCGTCATGAGTTGTTTTTGTTTTTATGAAAATAGTTACTGGACATTGGTAAAGCGTGTGATCTACCGAGGAAACAGTAAAAACAAGTAAAATAAAAATTATAAATAAATATTTAGTTATCTAATATTATCTGATAAAAATGTAATTCAATTGAAAAAATAACTAATATATTTAAGGTTCTTTGTGTCTACAAAACAAATGATATAATTATTAGTATATTAGTCAAAAGTCTTATGAAACATAAACTTTTTTATATCTTCCAAAAATGTACCTATTTAAAAATTATTCAGATAGTTTATTAAACGGTATTTAACATTCAATTAAATAGCGTGGTAATAGATTTTCATTAGCCCCGAGTATTTTTCTTAAGATTTTAGATTTTAATATTGACCATAAACTTTCTTATGTTTGCGTGTTAGTCCTATCTACGGGATTCACGAAATTTTCAGATTTTAATTTCAAAATATTTWATTTCTCTAATCGTTTTTTTCAATTAGCTTTATCGCACATTAACACCGTGTATTTAGTCACTAAAGGCATATTACCTATTACCAATTTAATAGTAGATCACGGCGGACTCGGTAGATCACACACTTTACCAATGCCAGTKACTGTATTATCGCAACTGCTTTACTGCTTTTACGAGTTGGCACATTGGTACATKACTATATAACATTAATTGTCATTTACGWTAAAATTTTTTTTTTATGTTATTAAACTGTAGCCTGTAGGTATTACAAAATACTCAAAATAGTCTCAACAAAACGTTTACAATAATATATAATATTAAGATAAATTAGTGAATAATATAGAATTACTAATTAGGTAGGTACGTTGTTGGGCGAGCACGAATGCACATAAAAACCAAGATTAAATATTTCATTCAAAAATACGAACCCATATATTTTATCTTTTGATAGGTATATTATTAAACAGTYATACTGTAATAATAGTAATAAACTAATAAGCAATAACTTATAACTTTTAYATTCGTCTCGGGCAGGCTACAGGATAGCACGCACGTACATGGTAAAATATAATATTAATTATAAAATAAGTTTGTCGTGTGCAATAATAAGAATTAATCGTGTGTACACAGCACCGATATTACCATGCCGTATTTCGGATAAAAATAGCTGGTATCGGGGTATAGTATTCAATGAGTTATCGTCGTCTTTCCATAAATCCGTTTGTGACATGTTTATTATTATTTTACAGAGCCAACAATTCGTATTCCCATAATCGTATTATTTTTAATTTAAATGTAATATTATGATGCATATAACAATTCAAAATATACAATACACAGACAGTTATCATATTGTTATGGAAAAATGGTAAATAATTATAAATAATTTAGTTAACATAAATTAAATTCATTTAATAGAAAAAAGTTTTAAAGCCCCCTCAAATACGGTACTATCTATTAAACTTTAAAGCTTTTTAACTAACAAACATCAATTTATCTTAGTTAGGGTTCGGATTTGAAGGCAATAAAATTAAAATAATTTGAAAATAGGCCACAATAAGCATTTATATTTTATATAAAATGCAATTACAAAATGTACTCAACAAATTAAATAAATTTCAGTTAATTTAACTAGTTTGTATTATAAAAAGAAAGGTAGAACATGGGTAGGTAATTTTCAAAAACGATAAATGAACTTGCCGTAATAAATACTCTATCGTTATCGTTCATAATAAATAAAACTAATTTTAAACATATCATSCACAATGTGTCTTCTTCACAAGCTCTTTTCGATTTGATTCATTAAAAATTTATAGAAAACTATCAGGTAAATTGATAATTAAACATTTAAACAAGTACAATGCCCATATCTAGTAATTATTTAATATTTCGTTAAAATCATAATCTGAATTTGGTAAAAAGTAGCGATTAGAGTGACTAAATAAGCGTGTATTTTTCCTATGAAAAGTGCAATATCACTTTGTTAGTGTATCATCGCTTAAACGAGGCAGTAYGCCATGTCACTAACAGTATTGCTACTTAATTCCAAACACTGAATTCTGATCATTATCATATTTTGTGAAGATAAGATAAAAAAAACTCGGTTCCCCATAGGATTTCTGCCGMAGTACATATTAAAGATTTTGTAAACCACGTTAAAATATCTCATTTCGACTTAAAAATGTATATACTGTATATATTTATTTTCTATGTTTTTTAGTGGTAGAATACTAGAATGAACTATTTATAAGAAACTTGGTTTAGAAATTTTAGGCTTTTTAAACCAACAAGAATAATTTTATTGAAATTTATAGATAAAAATACAAAATTTATTTTATTCTATTTAATTATATACAATATAATATTTTATTGAATGATATACTGGCTAGTATATGAATAATTAAATAAGATAAGAAATAAATAAAATAATAAATTCATAAGATAGTAACATGTTCTATATTATGTTAACAATATAATTTTTACCGAAATATACGCCGTAGATATTTCGAATAAAATTATTCACGCAGAATTGATATTTCTTACATAACATATTTTCATATTAAATAATAATAATACTTTATAAATAGCATAAAAAAATATAATGGGGATGGGATTTACAAAGGAAACAACMGAGCCACACTACAAGAGGTCGGTGGAAAATCTCTAAAACTTGCTTATGGATATATCGTCGTTATCGATATTCATACTGTTCAAACGTGTGTTCTAAACAATCTAAAATTCTAAACCGTCTAAAATTATTAATTTTAAGTCCWAGAGCTCGGAACTTAAAAAGTTCATGATATGCACGACCTAAGCATGATATTATGGCTCAAAATAGTACAAATATGATTTAAAAAATATGCAAACATTTTGTTTTTTCTTATTCATGATTTTTGTACATACTCACAAATATTTTACTAAAAAATATTCTTATATTATACAATTTATACAAAATAGTTTAAATAGTTACCTATTAACAATAATGGGAAATTGTATTTTAACTAAAGATTCGAAAAAAACAATACAATAATAAAAACTATGAAACCACTAAATATCATGCAAAAATATGCATTAGAGACTTTAAAATATTTTTTTCGTGTCGTCTTGAAATTAATTTCAAGCTTGCTTAGCAGTAAATTTTATTTGTTAAAAAAAACATGCAAATGCAACAACTTCCGAGACCTAAATGATTAAATTTATAACGGGTAGTAATGGTAGTATACATCATCATACAATATTATTAGTATACAACAATTCTATAATATAATAATAATACATTGTTAATTTTGATTACTGAGTCTTCACTCTTCCGCAAGGGCGCTGTGTTCGGTCGGATGGCCATGTTCCTCCACACTTCATGCGCTATGCACATCTAGTATCTACCACTGTCCACTGTGGCTCTGCAGTCTGTAGTCATTCCTCTACTCGTCGCTCATGGTTCATGACGTGTCTGCTCTCTGTTCATCACTCGTCAGGCCGTAGCGCGCAATCAGCATTCAGCAGTCGACGACGCTAGGCGACAGACGTTCGTGCTAGTCGGATGGTCGTCACTTTACTTCTTAGTGTTTGCACTCCCTTCCGTTTCAATTTTGTGTCTCGAGCGGTTTTCAGTTCTATTTACACCTTCGTCTTATATAGGTAAGCAATAAATATTTTTTAAAACCGAATTTAAAATAGTTGTGATTTTTCATCATTCGAATCGTAATTAACAGAGGACGTGTATGAGCCGAAAAGCAACCGGCAACATTTATCTTAAACAGCTTTCTAGCCATTGACCATTACCCATATTTTGCAGGTTGAAGTAGACAGAAAAATGATTATCGACACGGAAAAGCAGCATGGCCAGGTCGTTTGGGCCAAATTGTCTCAAAAGTCTATGTTGTGGGGCGGTATGTATCTCCATAGTTTTACTAACGTATTTAATTATATATGGTAGGTAATAAATATCTTMAGCCATTTCTCACGGGTATTATAATATACTGGTTACTTAACCAATTTTCAGTTGTATCATTAATTTTTATTATTTTATTTATTATATATATATATATTAATAATTCATTCATGATTTACGCTACACATAATTTTTTTTAGAGGATGCCAAACCCGCAATTAGTAAATGGAAAATTTACGATCTACGTTTATCKCTATTAGTTTAAAAACTCAAGTGACCTTTTATAAGATTTTTGTAAAACGTCTGTGATTTTATATTGGGTTCTTGACGTGGTTATGTTTTTAAGTGTGAGAATTAATAATTTATGTTAGGTATAGTATATACTCCCAATCTGCTATAGAACGCTATCATGTTRTTACCTTTATATTTTCAAGAGGTCAATTATCTGAAATTTTTAAGTCAACAGAGCTGAACATGATCTGTTGTGTAAAATTGTCATGTTATGCACTTGTAAGACTGGGTTATCACTTGCGGTTTGGTGTTCTCTAAAGTCTTAAGGCATTGGTTTCTCAAGAAAATTTTATTTATCATAAACTTACCACAGCCTTGGTCTAAAAATTTGGACCCTTATAATCGGTTATATTTTCTCCTCCCTCCTTGACGATTTCATGACATTTCAAGCAAACTAACCTGTATCACATGGCTCTATCACTAGTTCTAAAAAAATGTTCTCTCACTTATTTATCATAGTATTATATTTAGGGTTGYCAGATTTTAAAGTCTCTAAACACCCCGGGACATCACATTGAATAATCTTTTTTATAGTATAGTTTTTTGGAAATAGTAATATCCGTTATTTAATTTAAAAATATACTTAATGAATATATATATATATATAATATTCTTAATTTTTTTTAGTAAAATTCATTACAAGTTAGAACTAAATTGTACACCATTTGACCTTGTACAGTATTTTCATTCATCCTTCCCCTTTCATCAGTGGCGGCAGCTGGCTTATATTTTTGTACCGGGAAATAATTTGAATAAGGGCCCCCTAAAAATAAGATTTAAGCAACATTTTATTTTGATGTAATAACATTACAATGCTAAACTAATAAATAGTGTATGGGTTACTCTTTGTATTATATGTATATAAAATACATTTATTTTTATTGTTGTAAATCATAAAAGAATAATAATATGATATTTTACACATAAATAATTTTTTTGAAGTTCAGATATTATCCGATCTAAAATTGTAATATGCCCCTAAACATTTAGCCATTTAGGTATTTGGAATTTTGATTTGGCATCTGGTTGACAGTTTAAACTTATTATTTATGGTTTCATCATGACCAATTTTTTCTTTTTCTTTTTTACTTTATAATCCTTAATAGTAATTTGACTTCCTTTCATTGTTTTATATCTAATGTTCAAACCTCGTATTCTTGAGAAATTTCATATATACTCTACTTATTAAATAATTATTTAAATTGGTAAGTCATTAAATCTTAAGACCTATACATGAATTGCAGTTTCTCAATTACTGAATTAATAATACTTAATCAATACATTCATGAATATTACTAATATTATTAGGAACCAGATTAATATGTAATTAAAATAGAAATACCTGTGTGCATATGTATGGAAGTATAATTTTTTTTTAAATATGTGCTAAATACATGCAAAAAACACGCGACAGTAGAACTTACCATCTCTTTTAAATGGTTCGTTTGGAAATTCATTAACATACCGAGAAACTTAGAATGATATAGTTTAACTAATTTTTTGCATTTTTGAAACTTGAGTAGGTACGTACGATTAAGATTACAGCCAATCAGCCAAACTAACTATAAAAACCTATTTCTATTGCCTGTCATTGATTGTCAATCATATATAAATGTATACTATACTAATACATCAGATATATTATATGGTATAATAAGATTGAGTTTACGACTAAAACAACGATAACTACTAAATATCTATGATATACCGATTAATKGCTGTTTTTGTCCACTATAACATGGGCTTGAAAACATGAATAATGAAATGATAAATATGTTTAAATTGTTTTAAAAATTAGTGAAATATGTAAAAATATGTAATTATACCAAATATGTAAAATAAAACTATCATCATCACATTTTAATAGGAATAATTTAAATCATGGACATATTTTATTGAATCTTAAATATCTTGTTTTAATAAACATATGCATTTACATATAAATCCATTCCCTAATGATTATCATCATACGATTCTCACCATCCTAAATTAAATCTTAAAATACTGTTTCCAATACTTTGGTATTTTAATGAAAACCTTTTATTTCCATTTTCCAAATTAGTTGATTTTTCAAATTTATTATGCCAAAAAATAATTTAATATGAAACTATAGAATTCCAGTAATTGATAATTTGTACGGCACCCATCATCTCTCCCAGACCAACAGGTGTTTGATTTTCCTTGGTTAAGTTTTTCATTAGTAGTTTATGAGATTTTGAGTAAACAATTAAATCTATATGATACTAAACGTACCTATTACCTGAAAAATAAATATTTATTACCTTTAGAATAGTGTTTTTAGTGTAGGTATAACATAAATTGAAAATGTTGCCTGTTGTGGTACCAAATAAGTATATAGGTAATAATTAATATTTTAATTAAAAGCAATTTTATTACCCAAAGTTTCACAAAATTTTTTTACCATGTATTCTCTAATGTGTGTTCACCATAATTAACTTTTAAAGAATTTGTATTCATAATATCCTTTTAATACTGCCCCCTCCAAAATGATACTGCACATTACTAGTAATATTTAATGTGTTTCATCTTGATTAGAGATATTTAGTGAAAAACTTAAAGCTTATATGTTGGTACTATTTTAGTTATTATTTTCTGTCTCCTATATTTTTTGTCTTTCTCAAAAATGTATACCATACTATTACTAAAAGCATTTTAAGTCATTAATTATATTTTAATGCTTGATTGACTTTACCTGTTATTAAATATATTAGTTGTTATTAATTTAAATACAAAAAAAACCCCTAATAATCCCAAGACCCTGTCATCTCGCAGAGTTTTATAATTTGTAAGTTCACTTAAAATAAAACTTACACAACTAAAGTCACCAATTGACCGCTGATAAATTTGTTATGTTAAGCACTTGGTTGAATTTATGTGTTGTACTTCAATATTATGTAGGCACCTGTCCTGTATACAATTATTTGTAATTTTTGTATACTTTTATGAATATTTAGCAATCATTCTTTCGGTGAGGAAATTGAATTTGGCGTATTTTGAAGAACAGCCTGGAAAAACATGTGTTTGGTGGTTGAGTGATGATAGCATGTCACAGGTAATAATTATTTAAGTGTTAACTTTAAAATTAAAAATACATACCTAACCTTTTAAATTTTTAGTTGAAAAATGATTTAATATTTGACTTCAAATCAAAGCTAAAAATTGGTATGAAAAGTTTAAACGTACCACGCAAGAATAGTGTTAAGCAAGCTATTCAGGTAATTGCTTGTAATTACTACTCTTAATATATATATTTTTTAAAACTGTTCTAATTTTTATTGATATTTGTAGATGTTATCCTTACAGTTAAACTTTGTGGCTCCCAGAAATGGAATAATTGATTGGGCATCAAAGAATTTGTCTTTTGTTATGAATGGTAAGTACCACAAAACAAATTTTTACAATTAACTTAATATTTATGTTTATCAATTATTATATTATATCTAATGATTTTATTTTATTTTTTCGGTAATGGATGGGTGATTTTCAGGTATCTATTTAACATATATCTTATAAATAATAGCTAGAATAGAATGTTGTGGGTATTAATACATTTTGAAATTTTGACATATGTAATCAAAACTTTCCTTAAAATTTAACTATCAATGAAAGCTTTAGAGGTGATTTAAATTCTAAATCATATCTTGATTTGTTTTGCTGTATTTTTCAAGATGGAACCGACATATTGTTTGTCCTCTAAGGAGATTTTTTTCTTATATTTCTGAAGATAATATAATTTTWAAATGTTATCAAAATATACTGAAAGTTGGAATTTACTTAAATTAAAATATATACAATATAATATTTTACTACAACATATAACTTTCTAACAGTAAAACGTAGAAGAAAAGAAGAGTTTATTATTCCTGATGATATCTTACAAAAAATTATAATGGCAAATAACAACATTAGAAGGTGTATGGAGGAAAATAGAAAGAAAAATATTAAAGGTCTACGCAGAATAAAAACAAAGAAAATTAATGTTTCTGAGTTATGTAAGTAATGATTAAAATTTTAAAATTTAGTTACTTATTCTAAATTTCTAACTAATATTTAAATAATATATTATACCAAAATTGACTAGTGCTATTTTGGTATTACTGTAGATTTATGCTTATGCTTACCACTGTTACTGATACTACAATGAAAAGAATTTAGCAGTTACATTATTTGTTAACTGTTTAATCTATTATTATAATATTTTATTATAATTAGTTATATTATCTGGCATTGCTAAGGCAGGTTACAAGTTAATGATAAATTGTCAGTGTGGCGCTACAAACTTCTGTTTTTCAAATAAAAATCTCCAGTTTATACTATGAATTCTTTAGTGGATAGTTATCACTAAAATGTTCAAATCACGACTCGCATATCTTACTAATCCATTATCACAGACTTTATCCTAAACTAAGTTAAATAACTAAAAAGCTACTACAAATTTGATTCTGATACATAAACATTTTCAGAAAGATATTTTAGAGAAACTAATGAGAGTATCTACACTACATACAGATACATCAGTAAATGTATGTCTTGTTTCTACTGAATATAGTTGACATAAGAATGTCTTGTCAATTTGGTATTAGATACGAGGATATGGGGATTAAACTATAGGTAGTTATTTTAACACTTGTAAAAAATAAAATAAAGATTATTAAAATTACAAATTCCGATAATACTTACTGACATAGTTAAAYAAACTATTAACCAACGTTAGTTATATTATATAATTTACAACGAGTTATTTTTATCATCAATACATTCATTGTAACACGGGCTATACCTAATGTTATTATTTTACTAATAGATCACAAGCCACTGCGATCCCGATAACGTTTGTATAATTGCTAATTTCTGGGAACCGGTCCTCACCGATTGACGCACACACACGCATACGTAAACACACCAATGACGCATGGTAACATTTTTGGTGTCTGACAAATTAACAGAATGACCTCCAGCCATTTGACATATTGACAGCTAAACGCTAGGCCTCTCGTTTGTAAACAGAAATTTGTATTTCCTCAAGAATCACTCCTTAAAGTAGAAAAATGTGAAAAAATTCCAAGAAAATTTAGATTTTGTATTGCTGCATAATTAAAGAAGGGGGACTATGTAGCATTCACTTTGTGAACTTCTATATGTAATTTTTTTTGTTTTTTGTGAGTTAGGATATGAAGCTAAATACATTCCAACTCAAGGAATCTATTAATGCAATTTAGAAAACAGTTCAGTAGTAGTAGTAGTTAGGAGAACTAAAAAAGAAACATTCATATATATATTATATAAATACTTTTTATTCAAGTTAAAACTTAATTTTAAACTATTTGAATGTTAAATATCAGCTATTATTGTAAGCCAATTTGATCTCTATATTATTTCAGAACTGAACATTTTTATTACTAAAATACCAGAAGATTTCAAATGTATTCTTATATATCTTCAATGTATATTATTTTATGATTTTGAATTATTATAATTAATTATTGCGATTTTTTTTTGTTTCTAGCAAAAAAGGGAAACAAATATTGCATGGCTTGCCGAATGCCTTCAGTTAAACCAAAGATTGAACACCCCATATTTAAAGGCTTTCTGTGTGATGATTGTTTTGTAAGTAGATATTTTTATGGTTATATGTTTTTGTGGATAATCAATGTATATGTTACGGAAAAGTATGAATACCAGTAAAATCTAGGACATATTAAATAATTCGGTTAAACCCTAAATGATTTTTGTAGTTCGGATTTTTACAACCGGATTCTGTAAATCTTAGTATAAACAACCAGTGTTGGTTAAAGTCAGAAAACTTAACCAATTATGTATTATGTTATATTAGCTACTGTCTACTAGTATATAAAATAGATTTATTATATATTATATAATTATATCGTTATTGTTATATATTGTGCATATAGGTATATATTAATATACATGATATTCATTTATATTATACTAAATATTACAAAAAATATTTTTATTATAATTATTTAATTGTGCATATTTTTATTATAATTATTTAATTGTGCCGGATTGACTGTTGTGACATCTCAAGTGACAAAACATTTTTTGATTGGAATTTACATCAATTTGTGATACATTTTTTCAAACCAGTCGCACTTTATAAAGTCTTGTCCACCAGTCAAAGACAGTTGCGATACTCCTTGACTAAAACCTATTTCATTGTCTGTAATTATGGTTGATTATAAAAATTTTTTTTTTCATAAAGTCAAAAAATTCAATTCTKAGTGAATAACCGAGAGAGTATTCCTGCTTTTGTACCCAGTCTATAATAATCTTCATCCACAACTTATACACCACAGTTAGTAATGTGCGGGGATCAACTTCCAAAATTTTAATTTTGACGGTTTGTCCAATTATTACAATTGGCATTTTCTTCTTGCTCGACATTTCTTTCATTTTTCTGGCTTGTTTTTGTAGTCCAATATGTGATATCTTCTTTATGTTCATTAAATTTTAATGCCTGCACTGGTATTATATTTTCTACTTTCCTTATTTCTACATGTTCAGTTTCTCCAGGTCTTCTACTTTTCAAATTTCTTTTTTGCTAAAGTGTCATCAGGCTCTTTGTTGATTTCAACATCTTCAACTATCTCACCAACTTAACTGTTTTTTTCATTTGGTTCTCTAAGTGCTGTCTTTAAATCCTCTTCTGTTTGAAGCAGGGCTTGAAACCGCTCCTGGAAAAATGGGTTACCGGTTTTYGTGTTTTTTAGTATTGGTGGTACTTGATTACTGGTTACCAAAATGATCTTAAAAAATGTGGTTATCGGTTATTAGTTTGGAAGCGGTTTTAGTTCTTCAAGATTACCGGTAACCACTTTGAAAGCGGTTTTTAATTTAATTTTTTTTTCAATAGTCGATTTTATTTTATTTAACATAACAAACCATTTTTGAAACCATTTAAGTATGTTGTTGTGACTAGGTAAGAAAAAGCATAAAACAAAATAAAATATCACATAATTACATAAGTAGTATAAGTATAAGTAGTATAGTTATTACATAAGTTATAATTTATATATTTTTTTTCTTTAAGATACATTAAAAGTTAAAATATATACTAAATTTCCATTACCATCTTATTTGCTCTTATAATCACGATTTTGTTGAGCAAGTCTGATGATATTGATGATCTTAGATCACTACATATAAATTTTAGCCCAGAAAATGTACGTTCAACAGTTACCTATAACAGTTCAATAATAAATAATAAATATTAAATGATATTTAATTGTACATCTAAATGCCTACTAATCATTACTTTATACTTAGTACCTACTTGTACATGGTAACATTAAAATGGTTTTAAATCCAGATATTTGTTTTATTTTTTCTAGTAAGATATAAAATTGAAATTAAAAGTTACTAACCAATGGTATCAATTGGCTTTATTCAATAATATTGTGTTATTTACAATTTATTTTTTATTGTTCAAAAAAGTAAATAAATAATAAATTGTACTTATCACTGATGAGTGAAAAATATAAGAGGCACTTTCTAGTTTCTATTAATTTATAAATGACTATTACATTTTAAATATTACCAGAGTACTTGGGACAGCCATTAATACTTGAGCTAATTTGAACAATTCAGGTCTCTGCAATTTATTTTCCAACCAGAATTGATGAACACACTGATTATGATGAAGTGACAGAAGTCTTGTAACATTGTCAAACTCTTCTATCAATATACGAATTGAGCGACGCCCCACAGAAGTAGTTACTGATTCTATATTACTGTGATTTTGGGTTTGTAAAAAAAATTCTGAATCTTCCATTTCATTATCACTGTTTTCATCCCTTTGCACTAGTGTTTCAACTACATCACATTGACTTGATTGAACATTAGCTTCCACCTCTAAAATTGTACCACAAGTTTTGACCAAATTATATTTTGCTGCGGATTTTTGGGCTGCATCCAGTATACATTGAAATCGAGGATCCAAATAAGTCACTAAATTCACATAAGTTGCTTAAATTAATATAATTAAAAATTTACATTTATCATGGGTAAACAATAGCATTTGATACATTTATTAATTTTAGATAAAGTAGTGGTGGCTAGTAATAATTTATAAGGATTACCTGCTGCAAATGTAGGATTAGCAAATAAAAATATTAGTCTTTGTTCCATAGAATTTTGTAATGCATAAGATAAAATTGAATTCTATTTTTTTAATTTTGCAATCACATTCCACCAAATGGCAAAAAAATCACTCCATGTCATATCTTCCTTTTGTAATTGGACAAGTCCTATTTTAGCTGGTTTCAATGTATCAGCCTAAAAAGCATTATTTAAATATTAAAGATAATAAGAAAATAAATAATWATCAATCAAAACATAATATAATTTAACTTATAAGTTTTTATTTAACCTACTCTATTTAAAATTTAAATATACTATTAAGTTTTAAATTTAGCAATATTTTATTATAAAGAATTGTACCATTTCTTGTATTTTATTCCAATTTGGAATGGATATTTGTAGTTCTGGCATTGTTTCTTKGAATTCAAGACAAAAATCTTTTAGCTCACACAACCTTAAAAGCATACCGTACACTGATGACCAACGAGTTTCTATGTTGCGAATAGCAAATTTTTTATTCTGTCTTTTCAGAAGTGTAGCAAAAGTTGGTGTACGTAATTTATTAACAACCTAAAATATGATTGATTAAATGGTTGGTGTACATTTAAATATACTGATAAAGTAAATATTAAAATAAATTTTAAACTTATTATTAATTAACATTTTTTACCGCTCTAGCTCGTGCTAAGACATTTTGAACACTTGTAGTTTTTAAAGCTTGTTCTATTGCTAAATTCAAACTGTGAGCTGCACATCTAATTTTAGATGTAGTCGGTAAAGAATTTACAGCATTTTCTATATCATTTTCGAATTGTGTTAAATTATTGTCTGTATTTTCTATCTGTAAATTTAACCCTGTATCTGTAACAGTTTCTTCTAAAACAAAAAAAAGACAAAGTAATTAATCATCTTAAAAACTGATAATACCTAATTAATAAATATAAAATTTAAAAGTAAATAATAAATTCAAAATTGTTAGGTACCTATTTCTTCTTCAGTACTTATATTTAAGAGATCTGTAATTTTCAGCATATTTGGAGCGTTATCGCTTGTTATTGAAAACAATTGTTCCTTTTTCAGTTTATATTTACTCATGACATCAAGAATCTTATGAAAATTTAAATTTAACAATAATTAAAAACAATATATATAAAAACATTAGATACATTATTGTTTATTACCTATAATTTAAAATTATGATTTATCATAATATATACTATAATATTATGTAGGTATCTTAAAATTGGTTTATACTTTATAGTAAAATATTTAAACTGAAATTTATTATGATAATTGATGGCTTACGGTGTCTTTTAAGTTCACTTAACTAACGTTCAGTAAGTTCAAATATAGAAAGAGTTTAAATTTGTAAATCCATTGTATTTTCAAGCATGTATTGAACATTTATTCCCAAAAACGATTTATTATGCCGTGTAACACCATCTACTTTTATTTAGTGATACCAGTTTATTCTTCATATCTCTTGAGTGATGATTGAAATAATATTTGAAGCAGTATCGGAAATGTGTTTTTTTATATTATGTTTGTTAATACAATTTGCTAATAATAAATAAATAAAATAAAGTTTGAAATTATTGTTAGATATATTTTTAATATTTGATATTTAATATTTATTATTGTTTATTTTATAATAATTGATTCCCACCTTGAGATCCAAGACCAACTAATATTGGATCTATTATGTTTCTAAAACCAGAGTCTTTCATCATGGTTAAAGGCCGTCCATTTATGGTCACTAACTCTACACARGCCGTTAGCAATATTTTTTCAGACATATTTATTGTAATGCACTGTTTTGTCATCAACATTTGTTTTCCACTGCAGTTTCCAGCTTTCCTCTGGAAAATTGTAAATTTAATTAAATCTTTAAAATGAATTGGACCAAAACGCAAGTATAAATAAATAATCCCTCTATTATAGAAAAGTGAGCAAGGGGCCGATTAAATAATTATAATATTATAATATTATATAGTTAATACTTAATAGTTATATTAGTTTAATAGTTTATATACTATATATACATCTTTTTAAAATTCATATATAATATACCTAGGTACTTACTTTTTCTGCTGAGTTTTGAATACTGGTATMTGATGTATTATTATTAGATTTAGCATTTTGGAGTTCRACRTATTGAGTTTTATGATATGCGAAAATGTGTTTTTCGAGATTCGATCCATGTTTTCCTTTAAGGCTCGCTGTGCAGTTTTCAACATCACATTTGGCAATATTTGTTAATTTGTCATATTTAAAAAACATTTCTAAGATAGGATTTTTCATTTTGAAAGTGCACAATTTACTAATATAATAAAGGTATGTTTCAAATCATAGACCTTACAGAATAAACTTACTGTTAACTTATAAATATTAGCAGGAACTAGGAGCCACGATTTATAAAAGATTAAAATCTATTTTATCATAGATAGTGTGGCGTACTGGCGAACCTCCACAATATTGTGACAATTTTGTTATTAAAATTACTATTATCAGTATTATCAGTTATTACTTATTACTAGGGCTCGGAAGTTGATGACCTTAAAAACAATAAAAAATGCCCTAAAAAAATATGTTAAAATTACATAAAAATGGCAAAAAATGACCTAAAAATTACAAATATTAATATTATACATTTTTTTTAAAAATATTTTACTCTATTTTACTATAAAATTCAAAATATGACATAAAAATGACAAAAATGTCCTTAAAATAGGAAGATAAAAAAATAAAAAATATTTGTTTTATAAATTTATCAAAGCTTACAAATTATTTAAAAATTAAAATCATTGCATTCCACAATTAGAACGTATTTTAAGTTATCGAAAGTAATTGAACGACGATTCTCTGTTAATAAATATTTATAATTGGAAAAAAATTTCTCTACGTCTACTGAAGTGATTGGGGCAAATCTGAAATGTACCAAATCATCAGTTAAAATGACTAAAAATGTGGGAAAATGACTTAAAAATTTCAAAAAATGACTTAAAAAGTAATAAACACCAAAAAATGCAAAATAAAAATTAGTTATTCAGATTCACATGCTTATGAAACAGATTTKTAGCCAGGAGAGYATCGTCTAAAAAGTTCCAAAAAAAAATGCAAAATGCATCAACWTCCGAGCCCTACTTATTACATAATATTTGGTATGGCATTATAGATGACTGGCGAATAAGCACAGTAATAGGAAATTAGTAATTTACCCAGTTATAACATACATAATATATAGCTGGTAGTATATCATACATAAGTTAAAATTATATATAATTTATTAATGTGTAATATAACATAAATATTAAATATAAATGTATCTGCCTGCATTTTATGATAATTCTATTAGCGGTTTCAGCCTAGAACAATGCGCATACTGAGAATCTTCCCGCATTGTTGTGCGCCGATACTATTCAGCGTTCGAACACGCAATGATTATTTTTGTTTTGGTATTTACTGTTTTTATATTTTTATATTTACTTGATGGTTATAATTAAAAAATTATTTTAACGTTAATTGATTTTGAGATTTACGGTTTTGATTAATTAACCGGTTCTAAAAATAAATGGTTACCGTTATAGATTTCTCTCTTTATCGAATTATGCGATTACCGGTAATTGATAACCACTTCTCTAAATTGAAACACGAGAACCGGGAAGCGGATACCAGCCCAAAAAGTAGTCATGGTTACCTGGATAAATCGGTTACCGGTTTCAAGCCCTGGTTTGAAGCCTTGGTAATACATTTTTCGGAATAATTGAATTAGCTAATATCATAAACTAAATTACAAATAACTTTAATCACATAGCACAAATAAAGTAGGTAGGTACATTTTTAGTTAATTGATTGATTATATGAGTTTGGTACATGTACACACTTTATTAAAGTCAAAATGAAAATTCCCAAAGTCGATCGCAATTAAATAATCTTAAGATAATATTTTGTGCATAAACTAATTTTACCAAAAGCTAAAAAGTGGTTTGATTTCTTAATTGTGGCAATAATAGAATACTTAATACTTATTAGTTCTTTGTATGGTATTTAGATAATTGATTTAGAATATTAACTGCAAATATATTTTTATAAAAATTATGAATTCATGAGTTACCTACATTATTTATGTGACATACAAAATATGTATATTTACTTTTGAATTTTTCAAACTTTTATCAATATAATGTTTATTCATAATTTTTTTTCTTTTATTTTTAGATAAAAGGAAAAGATATTATATTATCAATAGCAAAAGACAGTGCAAATGCAAGTATTGATCATAATTAATTAATTTTTGTTGATGATATTTATTTTAATTGAAAAATTAAATACTTTTTGGGACAGTTTTGATTATGTTTTTTTAAATTTTTATTTTAAAATTATATTTTAATAGGATGGCTGTTGCGTTTGTCTTACTCAAAAAGATACATTGGTATTGTGTAGTTTTTGTGTGAGGTATAATAAATTTAATATTGTAATTTTTAAATCTATTATTTATGTTAATTTTATTTTATAATCTAGAGTTTATTGCAATGAATGCTTGGAATTTTACTGTGGACAGAGAGGTTTGGAAAAAATTCTAAATGACAATACATGGACATGTTTTGCATGTAATACAATCATTTTAAAGACCTGTAAACTAGTTCCAAGGAGTACAAAGGATCAACTAAAAAATGTAATTAA